ATCTTAAGACTCAATTCAAGTGTTACATTTGATTTATTGAGATTTTTAAATCTAAAACTGAGAGTATTATTCTTATGAGAGTAATTATTCTTATGTACAAATTATTTTTATCAAAATATCAAAATGTTTTGAATTAAAATATTCTTTTTTATTAATTGTGTATATGCGATTTTAAGTTCGAGTATTGATATTATCTGTTGATTCATGAGAGGCTGCTAGTATCAGCAATTTGAAATTGCATCATATCGCGGCGATGGTTCCCTTCAAAAGTGTATCCTAAAGTACACTAAAAGATTTTAAGAAGTTATTGCTCGCACAAATTTGAAACTAAAACTTCATGACGTTTGTTGGCTTAATTTCAAAGATACAAAGTGTCAAAGTTGGAAAAAAATTAATTTTTTCCAAAAGAAATGACGATAATAAGGCAATAGGAATCAGATGTGATAATCGTTGTGCAAATAATATACAGATATAATAAAACTTTTTATTAAAATAACTTTATTATATAAACATATTACTTACATGTTTCAACTCATTTTTGAACCCTTCAGAGACATAAATCACCCTTATAAATACAGGCCTTATAGATACTATTGATAGAAATCAAGAAGTTATTGAAAATTTTAAATATTATTTCCTACAAATAATTAAAAATATTATTTCCTTCACTGTATACGATTAAAAACAAATTTATTATTAACAACTATTCAAGAATTTATTCAAGCTTAGTGTATATTTATGAATAAAATCATATACAGAAAAATTCAGGTTTATAGTGATAATTACATTGTATATTGTTTATTCACAAGTCATGTATTTATTTTACAACAATACAGCAAATTGTCGACGAATATTATCCGCAGGAAATTTAAATAATCGAATATCTTTTTTTGATCTTTTATTGATACAGTTTATCACAACGCAACAAGACATTTTATAAATTTTTTGCCTTCGTTAATATATAATATTTCAGTTTTTTTATATTCTTCTTTTCGTCTCTTAGTCTTAAGATAAAATTTCGAAGTGCAGAAATACGAAGCTACAAGATTTCCAATAGCTTAGAAGCTATCATGTAACCTATATAACAACCGTAACAACCATAACTTTCTCAGCTCAGCGACGAACAGAGCAAGAAGTAGAAAAAGGAATAAAAATGACGGATACTCACGTATTCATAATGCCTTAGTTAAACTTGTAGATGGCGTTAGGCGGAAAAAATTAGTTTGCTCCCCCCTCCTTTGGTTGCAAGTAAATTCCAGCACTGCTTTGAAAGATACCTGTGAAAATAGTTATTTGGAACGCTTTTTTAACAGTCGATGTCGCTTTGTCATTTGTGTCAGTCGATGTGTTTTTATAAAAATAGAAAAAAACAAATATCGCATCATGACTAAATTCTTATGTTTAAAAGGCAATACGCTTGCGGAAATTAAAGCCAAGTTGGACGCTGTTCACGGAGACTCTAACGTATCATTAATTACTATGCAAAGTGGATAGCTGAATATAAACGTAAATATAAATGTCATTTAGTTACCAGCTTGGCTAATAATGATTCAGGACGGTCAATAACTGCAACCATCACCGATAACATTGAAAAAATTCATCAAATGGTACTGGACGACTGACGAATCAAGGTTAGAGAGATAACAGAGGCTGTGGGTATATCGATAGAACGTGTTTGTATATTTATTGAACTACATATATTAACTGAAGAATTAAACATGCGTAAGCTAACCATGCATTGGATGCCGCGCTTGCTTACTGTGGACCAAAAACGCATTCGAACGACCATTTCCAAGGCCTTGTTGGAGCGGTTTAAGCGAAACGAGTTAGATTTTTTACAATGAGTAGTAATTGTTGATGAAATTTGGATCCACTTCACTCCTGAGATAAAGGAACGGTCAAAACAGTGGACTGCGAAGAGTGTTCCAAAGAAGTCGAAGATAGTTTCATCAGCCAGGAAAGTGATGGCAACTGTTTTTTGGGATAGTCATGGAATTATATTTATCAACTATCTCAAAAAAGGTGAAACAAAAACGGGAATGTATTATGCATCATTAATTGATAAGCTGAAGGTAGAAATTATGAAAAAAACGGCCACATTTTATGAAAAAGAAAGTGCTGTTCCATCAAGATAATGCACCGCCTCATACTTCGATGGTCGCCATGGCAAAAATTCATAAATTGCAGTTTGAATTGATTGACCACCCACTGTATTCACCAGATCTGGCCTCCAGCAACTTTTTCCTGTTTCCTAGATTCAAAATTTGGCTCGGAGGACAGAGATTTTCATCATACAAACAGGTCATCACATCTGTAGAAACCTATTTTGCAGAGCAAGATGTCAACTATTATTTGAATGGGTTAAAGGAGTGGAAGCATCGCTGGGAAAAGTGTATTGTTGTGTAAAAGGAGACTATATTGAAAAATAAAACTGAATTTGATCTAAAAAAATATTTGTTTCTATGTTAGATTAAAAAAAATACAAAAGATACAAAAAGATATAAAAGTGATATATGAAGAAGCAAGCAATGTATAAGTATTGAAAAGTAAAATACCAAAAAATTAAAGATAAAAATGAAATTAAAATTACATGACATGAAAGAATAATATATTCTTATCATACTTTTATTGTAATTCTTAATATTATTATTGCATTTTTAATATTATAATATGAATTAAATATTAGTAGTAATTTTTAATATTATATTTCTGCATGTTAACATTTTCAAACTATTTTTTGACACATTGCTTTGTAGGTACATTTGGAATTATAAACAACAAAAAATCTATTCGGTATATGAAATATTCGGTTATAATAACGGGTTAAAAAAGAATGTTCCATTTAGATCATACTATCGCTTCGTGACATATTGACTTCTAATATTCTTTCCAAAAGTCGCTTACTAAATCGCAAATTCTGTAATACTTTGTGTCAAATCAATAATAATTCGTATATTTACAATACACATATAATTACAATTATAATCGGCATGATATAATTTACTTCGAATGACCAAAAAAAACTTTGTTATTTGCATCAAAATTGAAAAGTTTAACAGTACAAAAATTAAAACTTACCAAATACATTCTATATTCCTTATTAGTTGAAATTTCCTTGTTAAAATTTAGTACAATATCATATTTAATGAAACATAAACTTTTGCGCAAATGAATTGAGAGACTCGATTAGTGATACAAACGACTATTAGCAGGGGCTTTTCATTCAATCTGAAAATTAATGATCAAGCACTTGGAATTAGTACAGTATAAATAAGTACAGTATAAATAAGCACATTTCACACTATCTTACATCGGTTTGTGCGGTTTCTATAATTATCTAGTTAATTCTGTACCGCGTGCAGTACACTCTTATGGCTTCTGCGTGACAAATGTAATGCGGTAGCCAATAAGCTTACAGTTTCTAATGTGTTCATTGGTTTCCGCGTTCAGTGTGCAAGCCATTAGGATGTGATTACATCACATTATAACTAGTAGGGACACTCCGTGTCGGCATCTTTGATCTCCGCGTCGCAGTCACGTGAGCATCCGCCATGTTAATGTTTGAAAAATTCAGGCCCAAAAGAGAATATATATATATATATATATATATGTCCCATGCGAGTCTATTGCTTTGCTCTAAAAAACATAATTAAGAATGCCGTGTAAACGTAGTTTCAATGTAAAAATATTATCTTTTTTCAAAAAATTACATTTGATGTTTAAGTTAAGATTTTTTGTTTAAGTTAACCTAGCATAAATTACTTACTTTTTGTAAATTATAAAAACTTACCTTACGCTATCTTTGGGATGACGAAAAAAAGTGCATTGTGAATTTTTACTATTATTACTGCATTGTTTATTACTGCACGTAACATAACTTTTCTTTCTTTTATCTATTTTTTAGAAATATTTACGGTGCAGCTCTTAAATTGTCTTCTTTTACCACAGATATCTGCTCACACGGAATCTGTGTAATATACGTTCTTGTCATCTTACATTTTATTGGATCCGGCTCAAAACAAAAGCTGCGCAGTCATACCTGCACAAACACGCATTTTTTTGCTGAGTGTCTGGTTAGTACTAGTTCTACTGTAATTACATGGAGCGCGGTACGCAGTACAATAAGAGTGCAGTTACAATAGAAAGAATAAGGAATTAGGAATAAGGAATAAAGATTTCAACTTATCAGATATCGGACTGGAATGCACGGTTTCTGATAGATTGGAATTGTTAATGATCGTTATTCCTTATTCCTAATTCTTTATTCCTTCTATTGTGGCTGCACCTTAACTAAACTTAATAGTAATTAACTAGACAATTAGGAAACCGCGTACCGCCTATTTCTTTCGCTAATATTTCGCTAATATCAACGAAAAAAATAGGCGATACGTGATAGGGTACTATTTCATTTGTGCGTTTTTGTCGTATGACAAATGTGTGCAGAACAGAGAGAGGTCTTCGGAGCTCTTTATAGTCAATCAACATAACTGAAAAATTTGTTGTATGACAAAAACGTACAAATGAAATAGTACGCGATTTCCTAGTTACCTAGTTCATCGTGCGGCAACATGTGATGCGGTAACCAATAAGATTACAGCTCTTAACATGTTCATTGGTTACCCCGTCTTATTTTGTCACGCGGCAAGCGTTTCTGCGTTCAGTGTGCAGGAGCCATTAGTTACTATTATGGACGCGAAAATGCTTGCCACGTGGCAAAGACGTAGTAATCAATGAACACATTACAGCTGTAAGCATATTGGCTACTGCGTCACATTTTGTCGCGCAGCAAGCGTTTCCAGTGTGCAGAAGCCATAACGGAAACAGAAATAGTATTGGATTCTCCGGAAGATTCGTGCCGATATTGAAGGAAAATTGAAACAAAGAAAATTTAAATTTTAGTATACATTTATTAAATTATATAGGTAGTCGGCACGAACTTTCTAGACAATCCAATAGTAAACTTATCCATAAAGCGAGTTTCAACCGATTCATCCTATTGCAAGGTTATAGATAAGTTTATTTCCATTATTTTTCCAGTAGATCTAAAGTATCCTGATTGGCTTATCGATTTACGTTCATATTTTAAGATTATTGTTATGGCTTCTGTACACTGGAAACGTTTGCCAATAAGTTTACAGCTCTTAATGTGTTCATTGGTTACTGCGTCTCATTTTGCCTCGCGGCATCCAGTGCACAGGAGCCATTACAGAAATTTTATATGCGGCAGCTCTAAGCACGATGTAAACGTAGCCATTGGCTGCATCATAGGGCTTGCGCAGTTTCGACAAGATTCAAATTGTTTGAAAGCTAACGATTTTCTAAGCGTCTGTTTTGTGATTCATTTCGTTTCTGCCGTTCTCTCAATTTTATTCGTAATTTTCGACTATGGCTGAGTTTAGTACACCGCCGAGAATGAGGATAATAAACAAAGCCGAATTAAATACTCCCATAAAAATACCAGCTTCACCTTTGCTGCAAAAAATAGGCTATGGCACCGGTATGTAAAAAATTTATCTTCCTTATTTAAGCAAATAATTTTGAATAGAAATACAAATAATTATATTGTTTTTTGAAAATATATAGCTGTTGTATTTATATCTATAAATTCTTTTCTTCTCTCTGCTTAATAACATTTCTTGCTTTAGATTAAAAAAATATCTGATTATTGTATATAATTATATTTACTTTTCTATTTATCATTCAAATGATAAAAAGAATAAAAAATATTTAGAATGACTTGGACCAAGTTACGATTAATTTAACTAGGATTAGTATGTGATTAACTTATTATTTAAAACTTGTATTATTTTGTTAAAATAGATTATCTTATTATTCTTTATGATTTATATACAGAAAAAAAGATTAGATTAAGAATGATGAATCATATAATAATTTTTAATGCTTTATTGTATTACTATAATTGCAATTTTATTTATTTTATCTATTAAGCTATTTTATTTCCATGCCTTCTATCAGGAGTTGCAGTGTACATGTTTGAAAGATCATCTAAAGTAGGCTCTGAACTCTCCCCATGGGCTGTAAAGAAATGGCTGAAAGAAAAAAGCAACGAGAGAAATAATAAAAATCTCCGATTAGAAGCTGATGTCCTCCGACAATTGAATCATCCCAACATCATTGGTTTCAGAGCATTCACTAAAGGAGAAGATGGAAAGTCTTGCTTAGCTATGGAAGTACTGGATATGTCACTTGGTATTTATAGAGCTAACTAATTTGAACATTTTAAAGTTTATGTGTTTATATTAATATTAACATGGCAAATCAGGTGACAAAATTGAGGAGAGACGGGAGATCTTTGAGAACGAACCTTTCCCAGCCAAGAACATTTTAAAAGTCGGTTTTGAAATTGCAAAAGGTCTTGAGTATCTACATCACACTGCATACATATTACATGGAGATATAAAAAGTTGGAACATTTTGGTGTCCAATGATTTCAACACAATTAAATTATGTGACTTTGGAAATTCATTACCCTTGACAAAATCTTTAGAAATAGACACGTCCAAAGGTGATTTTTCTTATATTGGGACAACATGTTGGAATCCTCCTGAGATTATATCAGGTATGTTTGCTTGTTTAATTATGTGTTATAATTTTTTAATTTATATTTACATAAATTTGTAATTTAATTTTGAAATTGTGATATATATATATATATCAAGTTTATAATTCATAATTTTTTAAATCATTGCTTCAGAAATTTTATTTTTACATTTATGTTTGATTTATGATATTCGCGACTGGTTTTTTTAAAAATTGTTAAATTTTTCTTGCAGAAAATGGACCAGTGACGAGTGCTGCTGACATTTGGACATATGGTCTTGTCCTTTGGGAAATGATAGCTTTATCGACACCTCACTGTGAAGAAGATTTTAACGAAAATGAATCTTTTGATAATTGTACTACGTCTGAAGATACGAGAAATAATCAGCTTGATGAATCTGATATTAGTATAGATGAAAATAAATATGGTAAGTAGCAATTTGAAATGTGCCTGTTAATTATAATGTTATCTGAGGTAAATTAATAGAAATTAAATTAATAAAATAAAAATCTTATTTTATATATAGGTACACGTCCAGCTCTACCTGCTATTGACTTCAGTGAAGATTATAATAACATATTGGAAGTATTTTTTATATGTACCACAAATTACAAATTGAGACCCAGTGCAAAAGCACTAGTAAACTACTATAAAAAATACGCAGATATTAAGAAAAAAAAATTGTAAGTTATAATTATGTAAATTCATCACATATATTTATTTTATATATATATATATATAATCATCGACATTAAAGTATTTTAAAATAAACTATGTTCAGAAGGTATCTTATAAGATTATATTTCTGAAATAGTTTCTAAAATGACGCGATAATAAATAAAAGATATTATTACTATTATATTATTAAGACATATTATTACTATTATACTTATGATAATCTTGATTTTCCGCTGCATAAGATGATATACTTATTATACTTATACTTATTATAACTTATTATACTTATTATAATATCATCCTATCAAAAATAACTAAGCATTCAAGTGTTTATAATACCTTTCTATATCTGTGACTTCTCTGTTCTGACTTTGAGTTAAATATGGCCACCGTCGATGTTATCCGTGGTTTTATTAGCAAACTATTCTATATTATTAATTTGTTCACCCTAGAAAAAGATTCTAAATGTATATATGTATAAATATTTTCTAAGTTCAACATTTAGTAATGCTACATAATTTAGATATAATTTTGTTACCAACAACTCTCTGTTTTTCGACTAGAAATGCTATTTCTGCAAACATATCTCCGATTTCTGTGAGAAATTTTTCCAATTTTTTAGAACATTATTATGTCTACTTATTATATCTCATAATTGTTGTCTAGCTATCTTACTATCTTCTAAAATCTGCATATAATTAATCAGATATTTGATATGAATAAAAAAATTTCTAATAAATACTATTGTAATGGTAAATTCATATTTATATTATCAACAAATAAGCTAGTTTCTTGAACATCGAGCATATAATCCAATTCTGCTCTAATAACTCGCCTTACTATTCAACAAATAGTTTAATTAATGAATAATGTATGTATAATATGTATGCGTTATATTATAAAGAATTTTTTCTTATAATTTAAATTTAATAATTATAACAATATAATATTAAGGATTTATAAATATAAATATTATAGAGAAGATATATGTATCTTGATTTCTTGTAAATACATATGAAGTGAACGTTGGCGTAAGAATAAAGGGCACTTATCATGATATTTCAGAAACAAGGTATTGTAATCGTCCATAATATCAGAAAACATTTGCAGCATAGTTGTATATTGCAACGTTCTAATTCTTGTGTATACATGGTATAGAGGTTCATCTTATGTTACAGTCAAATTGTCAATGGCAATGATACCTTTTCTAATATTTACAAAGGCATAAGTGGAACTAATAAATAAGAACAAATTAATACATATCTAAATCAAATATATTGCATGGATAAATTTAGCAGTAAATTTAAATAAAATAAACAAGAGACTAGAATTTTACATAGACATAAATTTGTTAATTTTCATTGATAAACATATTTAATTATAGAAAATTTTATGTGTATTAGACAATTTCTTATTCTAATTATTAATTATATAATAACAATTATATAATTATTTTATTATTATAATTACGTATATCAATATTAAAATTATTTGCTTAGTAATTAATATGGACAAATATGAATCTATCTATATCATAGTAATTGTAATACATTTCCAAAATTAAAATCTGCTGAACACAGCCAATCACTGTCAGTATTATGCCTCAATGATTTAGAAATTAATTCCAAATTAGATAAAATTCAAGTAATATTGCATTACAAAATATTAATTAGATTATATTAGATAATATTTTTCATTAAGATATTTGTTATAAAAAAAATAATAATAATCTTATGAAAAATATGAAAACTTGAAAATATGATAAAATATCAATTAATGCTTTCCAATTAATCTTTTTTCCGAAATTTTGTATTTTTAGATTCCACTATAATATTGATAATTGATAACGAAAATGTTTTTTTATTTAAAAAACAATGATAAATGACGAGACATCCTCCTTTTCCTTGCACAGAGAAAGATTCGATATCAACTTCATAACGTGAAAATCAATATTCATAGTCGATTTTTACATTTAAGATTGGTTAAGTACGGTATCTTAAAATGTCATAAGTTAATCCGAGGACTGTATTAGCATTTAAGACATTATTTAAGACGGTTTTAAAATAAGAATGGAAATGAATACCGTTCCATATTTCACAATTGATAGTCCCTTCACAATAGACGGTGTGGAGCAAAAGTAGGCGTGGTTTGACCGAACTGCACCACCATGTAATTCTTCCAATGATTTTAAGCCTCGCTTAAAATTAAAGTAACGTTGGTGCAATCAGGCTTTAGGGTGAAATCACACGGTCCGGAATAGAACTGCGGAATACAGAATGCGTCATTGAAGCAACCAATCAGCGCTATTCCGCACTTTTCCATCACGCAAATTTTATGTGCTATGTTCACATGATGTATCCAGCATGAATATAATTTAAAAATTACTAACTTCATGTTAATAATTTGCTTTTTAAAATAAAATATAATTTTTCAAATTGTAAAAACAATTATTACTGTTGTATTTAATGTTTTAATATTTACAATCTCATAACAATTTTTTGAACTACTTTAACGCATTTACTATCATTTTTCTGCATCGTGTGAACATAGCACACAAAACTGGCATGATGGCAAGTGTGGAAAAAGGTACGTGCTGAAATCGCATGTAATGCATCATTGTTTTTTTTTTATCTTGGTACCTATATTTATGTACTCAAATTTTGTCATTTTGCTTCATTCGTCTCGATATTACGCAATTCCGTCATATTTTAACCTTTCAAAATACGACGGTTTATTATAAGAACAATGATACACTCGCTATTCCGCAACATCAAATGCAGAATAACGCTGAGTGATTGTTGCAATGACGCATTCTCTATTCCGTAATGTGATTTCACCCTTACAAGTCAAATAAATAACCTTTCAAAATAATGTATCAAGAATATGATACTTAAATTCCTCTGTTTGCGTTTATCGACCTGTCTCGTGTTTATCTCATGATTGTTTTAGTGTTGTCCTTTTTTTTCTGTCAATAAGCTGAGCCAGTCTCCGTATGTGTCGCGTATATATTCTCTCGTGAATTCTTTGAACGCGATATTTAATAATTTATTATAAATAGATATTGCAGTTGATATATAATGTGGCGATATAATTATCGCAAGTTCTCTTTTTTACTTTTTATTAATAATACATTAGTAATACATTTTATCTATTAATATTTTTTTATTTATTTAGATCTGTATTTTAACTAAGTATGGGACATTTCTACTTCATACTTTATTCGTACATGTATTCACACATCGTTATTTAATTATATTGTTTACAATTTTATACTTACGTTTATTCTGCCAATTCATATATTATGTTAAAGTACATTTACATTAGTTATATGCCTATAAAATAAAATTGTAAAAATATTTTGATTTCTACTAGAATCGAATCTTTGGCATTGACAAGTTCGTGTCTGCATGTCAGGCTCGCGCTCATATGTCGCTGTGAAATTTGTAATTTATTTTGTTGTTGTCAGCAATAATAAATTTTGGAAAATATAAATATGTTGTAGACTGCGAATGTAATAAAATTTTTTAACATTTTCTAACAATTTGTGCTATCAATGCTTTGCTAGAAGGTTGAGGAAAACCTTGTCGTTTGTCATTTTATACTGTACATTATTATATTACGATTTTTTCATTATATAAAATATATCTAAAATTTTAATCGCTCGTAATTATACGAAATCAAATTAAACTTAAAATAATTTTAAAAGCCTGTTTCTAATTAGCAGGATTAGCAACATTATCTTATAAAAATAACTCGTTACCGTTTTCATTCTTTTTTCTAAAAAAATAACTCGTTTCTGTTACTCGTTATCGATTTGCAAAAGTAACTCGTTACTGTTATTGTCTCAAAATACGAATCGTTACTTTTTCGTTATTTTTTTTTTTACTAATAGAGTATTATATGTAGATTTTTGCGGTAAATATAAAAAAGATGTCAAAATTCTATTTTTTATTAATGGAATAGAGCTAAAAAAATATATGCTTATAATAAATATTGTGCATTTTCATGAAATAGATGCTATCAAATCACATAATATATGTATATTACGTTTTTTGTAATTTTTATACTTAAATAAATTTATTTTTCGTATTACTTTTAATAAGATTTAATATCTTTAAATTATACATTTAACTCTTAATACATATACAATTTTTTTTTACTGTGATGAGTCGTTTGTGTGTGGGTTAATTTCTATAATTTTTGTAAATATACAAAATTTTATTAATGAATTTTATGAATAGATTCTTATATATATTTTAACATCTTCAAAAAACATTTACGAAGTTGTATGTTTATAAAGAAGGAAAGGCTAGAAAAGAATTATTTAGCCAAATATTTCGAAGAAAAGAAATGAAAAAAACAAGAATGACTCATCGTAAATACTCTCTAAGGTAAAATTATATTATAATAAAATAATATTGTTTATAATTTACATTATATATATATAATATTTAATTTGTGAAATATGATATAGAAAAAATTTTATTTTAAGAAATGAAATATACTATAAAGATTATATCTGATTTAATCTATACATGTAAACTGTGAATACAATGAAAAAAAGGCGTCATGATCGCATGATTTAGACAGCCAATCGGACCGTTAATGTTTCATCTCTATTTTTTACGGCTACAGTTACGACTAACTAAACTTTTACGTAGTTAGAAATAAAGTAATGATAAAAAACTAGTGAAATCGTTACCTCAAAAATATAATTGCGTTACCATGAACGTTATTCAGAAAAAAATGTAACGTCGTTACCCATTCGTTACCGAAAAAAATAACTTGTAACAACATTACAAATAATGCATTATTTGCCAACCCTACTAATTAGTATATTTTAGTTATAATATAATAATGAATCTTTTATATTTTACACAATAATTTCACATTTTTTTTTTCTTAACGATTACTTTTTTTTTTAATTTTCAGAGTATCTTTTTTGAAGAGAAGGCGAATCGTTGCACTATTTTTTCAGAAAGTATCATATCTATAGTCATACATTTTTT